AGAGATGGGGAGAAATATGAGAAAAAACAAAAAAAAAGGCAGGTTAAAAATAGCCCATCAGTATTTAATACCACGCAGAGTAGTATACTCAGCCAAGGTAGGCTCACCGAGAGAATGTGGGAAAAGTTGCGGGCTCGGGCTTCGCAGCCGGGCTGCAGACCCAGAACTAAATTGTAGAGTTGGTTTTAATTAGATCTGTGTTGGAAGTTGATTTAAAAACAAAAAGCTGTCATCTTCTGCTTGTGGGAATGGAAAATATAAATATAAAAACATGAGAGAAAGACTCTGAAGGAATACTCGGCTCCACTCAGCTACACAAAGATGTGCAACTGTTCTGATACCAGTAAACTGATTTTTGAAATATACTTTTGGTCAGCCAAACACTCCGTGACACCCGGATAACCAGGTCTCCCATTTCCTTCCAGAGAGGGCCCTCTGTGGGTCACCCAGCCCAACCCCCTGCCCAAGCAGGGTCACCCAGAGCAGGCTGCACAGCACCGCGGCCAGGTGGGGCTGGAATATCTCCAGAGAAGGAGACTCCACAGCCTCCCTGGGCAGCCTGGGCCAGGGCTCTGTCACCCTCAGAGGGAAGAAGTTCTTCCTCGGGTTCAGCTGGAGCTTCCTCTGCTTCAGTTTGTGCCCGTTGCCCCTTGTCCTGTCGCTGGGCACCACTGGAAAGAGTCTGGCCCCGTCCTCCTGACACCCACCCTGCAGATATTTGTAGGCATTTCTAAGGTCCCCTCTCAGCCTTCTCTTCTCCAGGCTGAACAAGCCCAGCTCCCTCAGCCTCTCCTCGTAGGAGAGATGCTCCAGTCCCCTCCTCATCCTCGTAGCCCTGCGCTGGACTCTCTCCAGTAGCTCCTCATCTTTCTTGAACTGGGGAGCCCAGCACTGGACACAGCACTGCAGATGGGGCCTCACTAGGGGAGAGTAGAGGGGGAGGAGCAGACCTGCTCCACATCGCAGCAAGGTATCGCCAGCACCAACCGCAGCAAACACCGCTGTCTGCGTTAATTAAGTTGATTTGTTCACAGCGGAGACGTGGCATGCGACAGGCATGGCAGGGCGGTCCCTGGACTCCCAGCTACAATCACCACATGGGCTTACAGGGCAGCAAGTGGGACATGTGCTCCTCGCCACGCATGGAGGGACATCAAGCCACCCCTGCCCTGCAGGCATGGGTGGTCAGAGCTGGGGAGAAGAACCTCTTGTCCTCCAGCTCTGCAGCAACAGGGCAGCTGTTGGGTCTGTGCGTCTGGGAACCTACGGAGAAGTGGATGGGCCCAAGGGCTGAGAGTCTCACCTGGCTTCAGCCATGGCAGTGGCATGACCACCTTGCACAGGCATCACTGGTGGGCAGCCCACTCCTGCATGAGGTCTCAAGGCGTTGGGAAATGTTCTCCTCTCTCCAGTGGTTTTGGAAAGAGCTCTCGCAGCATCTGCTACTGCCCAAGGACAGCGGGTGGCTCCACGACCACGCGTTACCGCAGTACGCCCGCCCCAGCTCCCACTTACAGCTTAACGAAAGGGTCCGAGTATCCGTTGGCATCCATGGCTGCTAAATGCACGCAGCGTACGATGCCGACAATCAAGCCGCCCTGCTGGGTGCTGTACATGAGGGACACGAGGATCTTCCCACGTTCCTCCACATCCCCACCACGATCTACCTGCAAGGGGAAGTGACCAGAGATGGAGACACGGGGGCTGAGTGAGGAAGACGCCCAACTGCAGAGCAGATAAGATGGATACGAGGTTCCCCTGTATCCCCATGAGAAGGTAAAAAAATGGGTCTTGCACATGAGAGATGATGGGCGATATGTGCACGGAGCACATCATCCTACAAAGACTCTTACCTCCTCTTCGTACAGTGCCATCCCACGGGATGAGCCGGTCGTTCCAGCACGCTTCATCTTGGATAGGTAGGGAAAAAAAAAAAAAAGAGACTGCAGTGAGCGACTGCAGCTGGAAGAACCGTCCTACAGCAAAAACACCCCCAGGAGCCCAGCCCAGCTTTTCTGCTGGCCTTGGGAGTAGAAAGGGGCTCAGGTATGTTCATCTGCTCCATCAGCCTCAGCAGACTCAGCACCTCTCCCACAGCACTGGGGAGCAGAGCTCAAGGATGGAGCAACCTGCCCTCTCCTCCACAGTGACACACATCAGCATAGGCTGGAAAAGCCAGCAGATCTGCAGCCACCGGGGAGGTCCCTGGAGTCACTTCCCCTGGATTCCCACCACGCTCTTATCTCTTGGCCTTGATGTGTCACATCAGCCCAGACACTGGTGGGAATCCAACTCCTGAAGAAGCCAGTGAAGTCAGGCACTCACAGCTCTTGGCCGGTTCCAGCTCCAAGCTCACCACCAGCTCCCTCACATGGCATTTGTTAGCAACATCAACGTTAACAGTAGCAGAAGGAAATGTCACAGAAACTCACTGGTATTACTCTCTCCAAGCAGATGTTGAAGTTCTTTTTCTGGTTGGCTTTGAGTTTTTTCAAGGAAACTCTAGTTTCTCCAATAAACTCATTGTGGCCAAATTTGTCTTCATCACACACGGAGATCCTGAAGGGAACAGGGAAGGTGAACATCAACCAGGCTGGAGCAGTACCTGACCCCAGAGCAGAAAAACACTCCTGCAAGGGCACTGCTTGGGGGTGAGCAAAGCAAAGCACCACCCAAAGCCTCCAACCATCTGGCTCTCCTCCGACCAGAAGCAGTCAGAAGAACAAAATTCTGCTTTGCCAGAAAAATCAACGTTTGTAATCTGCGTTTTGCGACGGGGCAAGAAATCAAGAGGTGGAAATTTCCTGTAGGAAGGAAATGCTAAAAATTTTGAGAGACCTAAACATTTTGCTGGGACGCTGTCAAGTCACGCACAGGCACGCAATACGCAACTCTCTACGCTGATAATAATATTAGTATTGCCAATAATTTAATATTAAATGACAGGGTCAAAATACCTTTCTTTCTCTTTTTAAAAAGGACGACGAAAACCAGCATGTTCCTGTGGAGCACGTTGATTTTGACCAAAACCTCTGCATTTCCAGGTGCTCTACCAACACCTGCACCCCGCCGCCGATGCAGTCCCGAGGAAGGCTGGTGCACGATACCCAATACAAGGAGACCCGCGGTCCCCATCCCACCGCTCCACGGGACACCCCAGCTGCTCTGCTTGCCTGAGGGTTTTCCTTTGCATGTCCTCATCCGTGATGCCGTGGTACACCAGGGTCTCATTCCACACGGGGTTACGGGTGTTGCGCAGAGTCTTCGTCCTCAGCTTATTTGACTACAGCATCAAAACAAAACACGGCGTCATCACACCCCCGAACTCCTCCCCACCTAAGTTGAAGCTCCTGGCAGAGGAGTGCAAATGAGATGCTCCATCACCCCCAGCTCACAAGACATGGCTTGACTGGGGCATGGAGAGTCTGCAGGACCTCACCGCTGCCTGCTGAGGCTGTCGCGCCAGCGAGCCATCAGCTCCGGGTGAGCATCATCGACCTGACAAGGTGGACCTTTACGCAAGCACCGGGGACTCTGTCTGCTGCAGCGGCCAGGGCAGCCTTCACCACCCGGCTGCTTTCACTGTCTGGGGTCTACTCCCTCAAGGACTCTTGTACAAGAGGTGGCACAGGGCGGGCTGTGCAGGGATTAGGTAACGGTTCTTGTGGTCTGAAGGAGATGAGAGCTTGGGAAATGAGGAGCTCTGTCACTTGTTCACGTGTCTTTCACAAACACATGTGCAAAATAAAAAAATTCAAAGCAACATCAGCAACAAGAGAGCAACAGAAATCAAAGCAACTCCCGAGATCACAACACCTTGGTTTACTCTGCACCAGACCACAAAGTCCCTGCGCATAAAATAAGCCTGTAAATATCAATCCAACGGTTTTATTATCAGTTTTCCCCCACGTTTTAGTTCCTCTGAGCAAAAGTCTGCTGCAGGAGAGAGCTTTGCAGCCCCCAAGCAAGGAGCCAGCACCCCTTGGGCGTCGGGCCAGCAGTGGTCATCCCTTCCTCCAAGGTTTCTCCACCGAGATCAGCTGAGCTGAGCTGGGGAGTGAGATTTCCAGAGCTTTCTTGGATGGGGGAGTTTACTCAATGGTTCTTTCTTCACAGCTCTGATGAGAACACGCTGCAGCTTCAAAGCCAACGGGTGTCTCAAACTCCGGTGATAATTAGATTTTGCGTCAGGTGTTTTGTGATGCTTTAACGGCGTCACCTCCTCTGGAGCTCCCCTCCACCCCCAAACAGATCCCTGTCTGCAGGATGAGCTGTTCCTCGGCTACGGGAGAGCATCTGCAAGCATCATCACTTTTCAGAGATACCTCCCGGGTAAGATAGCAGCAGAGAGCGACTGCGTGCAGAAAGCAGGGGGAGGAAGGCTGACACAAGGAAGGGACCTCAGGGGACTTCGAGAAACCTCTGCTCTACTCCCAGCCCCAAACGTACCCAAATTGGGCAAAGCCTCACCTTGCTGGCTCCGGGCAAGAGATGCAGTTTGACGTAGGGATCCGCCAGGCCATTCGAGTCCATTGGTTTTAAGCCCTAAAAGATAATAAAGAAAACACAGTGCATAAACCCTCCTTAAGCAGAGCCAGGAAAGAGAAGAAGCTACCCATGAAGCAACTCAGTAAAGAGAAAACGTGTTCAGCAAGCCAAGAGCCTCACGCTCTGCCTTGAGTGGGCGTGGGTGCCACGATGGGCTGAAAAATCAGACCCACGTGAGGAAAAGCCCCACAGATCTCCCAGACCCATGCAAGGAAAAGCCCCACAGACCTCCCAGACCCACGTGAGGAGCAGCACGGCTGGGCTGGGTCTCCGGGGGGGCCAGCCTCTGCCAGCGGCCACGCCGCTTCCATCCCATCGCACCGGGGGAGCTGGGAGCCAGGCAGACTGAAACCAGTAAAAGAAGGGGAAAAAGAGGGGACCACTCACTTTGGCCTTGATGAGGGTGCAGTGCAGGGAGCTGTTGTCCTGGTCGTAGAGCAGGCTGAACTCCAGCGCTCCCAGCGTAGCTGACAGCGAGACAGAGGAGGAGGAGGAGTTGGAAATAGGATCTCATTAAAACCTCAGCCAATAACTGTGTTTAATCAGCCCTGGTTAGTAATAATTAGAAAGATTTGTTGTTCAAATGTAAAAGCCATTTAATCCATGTAAGACTGCAACGGCATGGGCCAAACTGCCTGGCAGAAACCCAGCCAGATTCATGAGCTCTGGTCATCAAAGCTTTGCAAAGATGGAACTGCCCAGGGTGGGTAGTTTGGGGCTTTTGAGCCAACTTTAATATTTGCCAGGCAAAGGAGGACACGACCCTGCAAACCCTTCTCAGGGCCATGCCAGCCCAGGACTACCCTGGGAAGATGTTCCAGCGCCGGTGGCCAGCATCTCCTCCCAAGGCTTGGGGCTCGGCGTTTGGCCCCTGTTTTGACTCGTTGGAACCCAGCTCACACTTGTCTTCACGTGCTCACCAGGAAAAATGTCATAAGGGTGAAGAGTTAGCACCGAACCTCAGCTGGGTCCATCTACTCCTATCTGAGCATGATTTCTGCAGCCACTCCTGGCCAGGAGCAGCTCTTCCCATCCTGGGTGGGAACAGACGCTTGCCCTCATGCAGCAAATTCCCTTTTAGGGAAGCAAATGACTCAACATTGAGCTATCATGGCGTAAAGGTACTGAAGCCACCGAGCCTTTCCAACAGATCGGTCTGGTGGTGTTTGTTGCAGCGAAGGATGCTGTGATGGAAAGAGGCAGCCACCTTCAGGACTCGAATTTGGGAACGGGAAGCTCGTGTGAGTACAGAGCCTAAACCATCACACGTCAGAGCTCGGTAATTTGGTCCCTAACCGACCGAAGATCCCATGAGCTGTGCTGAGCTGACTGAGCACGGACAGCCTGCGAGACCCTCCGCTCCCTCCCCTCCAGCCGGGCACCCCGGGTACGTACTGCCTTCATCAGAGTCGTAGCTGTTGGCGTCCTCCTCCTCCTCCTCCTGGGGTGGCTGCCGCGGCGGAGCAGCAGGCACCGGTGGGATGGCGGGGGGCTGTGGGAAGGCAGGGGGCT